CTCGCCCTTTAGGGTAATCGCCTCGGTCACCGTGTCATGGAGTGGGCCACCCCATCTGACACGTGGTGGGTGAGGTGAAAGAGTCTGACACTGACCTGTAATAATATTAATGTTACAATTCCATACAATTTGGTCATAATTATCAAATTAATTAATCATAAATTATTTATCGATCACAAATCAAAAAAAAAATTATAGGTTATAAATAAAACATTTTATAGATCACAATTTATTTATCGGTCATAAAAAAAAACTTTATAGGTTACAATTTTTTTATCAGTCATAAATCACAAATTTTACAAATTGCAACTTATTACATGGTCACAAGTTATCAAATTGCTGGTAACAAATTAACAAATTTTTAGGTCACACATTATTTATTGATCACAGTTTATCTATTTCATTGATCACATATTGTTTATTGGTCACACATTAACAACAATCAGCCCATTTAATGTGTGACCTCCACCACCAATTGTGACCACCGCTGCTAGAGCCAACACCATAGCTGCAAACAACGGGCAGCACCACTACCTTATCCACCATCTCAAACAAACTAACCCCCACCACCAAAAACCACAATCAGCACCACCGCGATCAATCAAATGGGAGACCACCATGGCACCACAACTACAACCGCACCACCATGAGAACTACCACTAGCAATGCCACCACCACCCAATAGCACTGCACAATCACACCACCAACTAGAGGGGCCTAGTAGACTCTGGTTGTCATCACAAACACCACAATGGTATCGGAATCTGTATACCGCTCCACCTCGTACAACATCGAGATCTCTCGACGCTGCTCTACCTCTCGAAATCTCGCAAACAACTCCGTCATCGATGCACAATGGCGTCGAGCGACGCTGTTCTTAGATTAATACAGCCATCAAAATCTATATACCTTACACATATCGAAATCTCATGCCGCTCCGATGTGTAGTGTGTGGTAAAGACACAAATAATGGAGAGATACGAAGAAAGTGGAAAGGGGAAAATGAATAGGGTTAGGTGTTTTGACTGTTTGGGAGTTCAAAACGATGGATAAATTAATTTAATTAATATTAAATTTTTCAAATTTTTTCGATTTTTGAATTGGGCATTTTAAAATTCTGGGTGGGTGTAATTTTCACTTTGGAGTATCCTATTTTCACGCTCAAAATTTGTGTCGATTTTATTTTAGGTCAGTTCGATTTTACACTGAATTTTGGTTGGTTTGAGTTGAAAATTATTCAAACCGTATTATTCAGTCCGATTTCGAGTTAAGTTCAAAAAATCGAACCAATCCAACCCATGTCAACCCTTAACAACCTCTAAGAGCTTGTAAAGGTTTATTCATTGTCCAAGAAGAGATACCCTCTTCAAAAGAATCTCAAAAAAAAAAAAAAATGGCGATTTAACCTATGCAAACCTAGCTATAGACGTGAGATTATGAAGTAAGCTCGTGCTATTTAATATCTATATGGGGGAAAGAAGATTGACGCGCAAGGCTTTTTTTTTTCCCAATAGTCGACCAAATGAGTAATTGAGAAAGAGCTCATAACTAAACAATAAAAAGGAGCAACGGAAATGTGTTTAAAGTGTTAAATCGTGGTTTACATGCTTTAACACAATTTAACTACATAAAGTTTTTTGTGTCCAACGTGAACTAAACAAAAGTTTAAAGTGAGATTACGTGACAACTTAACAATTGTGATTTTTTGATAATTCGTTGTGCAATTATAATAAAAATTTAATTACTCTTTTTAACTGTTAGGGATCAACTTTAGGTAGATGAATAATCATGCAAAATTTTTCTACATTTTTATGTATTGTACTACTTATTTATATTTAAAATTTATGCATTACAATATTATGAAAGGCAATTTATGGAGAAAATAGCAAGTCTTGCACTGCCCGACCCAATCTTCACTTGACTACTTTTTTATTCTCATATAGGAGTGACAAAAGGGCCACGTAGCTTGTCGGCTTGGCTCGTCAAAACTCGACTCATG